TATTTCTATGTATATTTATTGTCTTTGTTCTTCTTCTTAAATTGTTTTATTTACAACTTATAAGTTGTTACTATTAATTTAATGCTAAACAATATTTTAGTGTTATTAATTATAGAATTATTAAATGTATTCTTCATTAATACTTCACAACACGAAGTACACATTGAGGGGCCATGATAGAGAGTAAAACCTAGTCTTTCAATTTATTCTTTTCTCTCAAAAATGGAAAAATGTCTCTTTAGTTGGTGCTTTCAATTCATTCTCTATATTTCTTTCTTAGCAATGTCTAGAGTTTTTGTGTTCCTTATCGAGGTAACCAAGCTAAAATTACGATAGAAAGATAACGCTTGATTGAATCTCTTTTTTGTGTCTGGTCAAATTGATCATTCCGCCAACTGTTATATTCCTTGGGATATTTATACAAATTATTCTTAATATTAATAAATAACCATGTTTCCTCTAATTTACTCCCGCTGTATTAAAATGTTTGCTACAATAGAATGTGGCATGATATTAAAGCGAAAAGTAGTAGGGGTAATGTATAATGTAGAACAGGTAGTGGAAAAATATGAAATAGAAGAAAAAATAGAAAAAAAATGAGGGTATATTTAAAGGAAAAAACTTAACAAAAAAATGTAGCAAAAAAGTATAATATATCTAAAAAAGAAAGTGTGACAAACATTTCAATAGAAAGGGGTATATATACATGTGTGTGTTTAAAGTTGTTTTTATCTTATCCGTTTAAATATGATATATTTTGAATTAATCTGATTTACTCTGATAGAAGTCAAATATAATTAGATTTGGGTCTGAAACTTGGCCAGTTAAAAAAATTAACTTATGAGAATCAAAGAAATCAAAAGTATTATGTAGTACTATATAGTTACTACAGAGTACAATATAGTATCTATAGTAATTGAAATTTAACTATATCGTTTTAGTTTAATTATATCAATACAAAAATCTAGGGAAAAGGGGCAAATAAGCCCTCGAACTAATCAAAAAAGTGCAAATCAGCCCTTTTGTAGGAGGTTTCGTCTGTCTATCGTCATTTGGGGAGGTTCCCGGTGGAATTTTTTGATGAAATTTTTTGAGCATCTTACTCATTAAGTCTAGTTTAGTCATACCGAATTTCAGCTAAAAAATCAATCGGGAAGACAGTCAAATGAATTTTTGAAGATAACTGCGCAGTTAAACAACGCAGTGTAGTTCCGAAAATCATTTGAGTGCCTTCCCGGTTGAATTTTTAGCTGACATTTAATATGGCTAAACTAGACTTAATGAAGAAGATGCTCAAAAAAATTCATCAAAAAATTTCACCGAGAACCTCTCCAAATGACGATGATCGGACAGAACCTCCTACAAAAGGGCTTATATGCACTTTTTTTATTAGTTCGAGGGCTTATTTGCCCCTTTTTCCAAAAATCTAAGCTATGTGAATGTAATACAGAGTATAAAGGTGTGAACAAGTGTGGTAAAAAAAGAGTCCTTCTTGTTGTACCCACTTTTGTACACATATTTATACATTTGCATGTTACAAGGCGAAATAAAGATGGGTACAAACATATTTTTTTGAAAAAAAAAACTATAGAGCCTATAAAATCCCTGTCAACCCTTCAAATTCTGCTTCATTCTCTTCCCTTAATCAGCTACAGTAGCTCATCTGTTAAATCTCTCCCATTCAAGATACGATGGTTACAAATTTTCAGAGCTTATTAATAAACAAATCTTCCTCCTCCTCCTCTTCGAACGAAGAAGAGACGAAGTTCGGTTCAGAGCTAAGAAAGGGGCCATGGACGCTCGAGGAAGACACTCTTCTCATCAATTACATAGCTGAGCATGGCGAAGGCCGCTGGAATGTCTCTGCCAAATGTGCCGGTGAGTATTCTGAAGTCTGAACCAACCAATTTCATCGCAGGCTGGAAGAAATGCAGAATTTGGTGATCTGGTTTAATGGTTTTGATGATAATTATTGTTTGTGCAGGGTTAAGAAGGACAGGGAAGAGTTGCAGGCTGAGATGGCTTAATTACCTGAAGCCAGACATTAAGCGCGGAAACCTTACTCCCCAGGAGCAGATCTTAATCCTTGAGCTTCACTCTAAATGGGGGAACCGGTAGATTGTTTCTTCAATTTATGATTTTGAACGTTTTCATGGCCAGTTTGGAACTATGGAAGTACCGATGAAAAATTTTCTGGGAGAAAATCAATCGTTTTCTCAAACACAATAAATTTAAAAGCCCGTATTGATCTTTTAAAGTTTATTATATATTCAATGAAATTCAAATGCTTCTAAAAAGTAACATTAATCGAATTCATTTTCCTTAGCATTTTCAATAGTTAAGAACCAAATTGAATGCAAGTAATTTTGTTTAATAGGAGGATTTATATTTTTTAGAAGAGTTGTTTTCTTATGTTTGCCCTTGTGCCCCTGCCATAGAAAATTAAACATACCCAGTAATATTTTTTGAATAAAAAATGTGACTAGTAACTAGAGTAGCAATGCAATCATAGTAACTTATGTTTTAAGTTTTAAACTAAAATTAATATGATATTAGAACGTAGTAACTATTTGTCATATTTATGTAAATAAGTTTTATTTTAATAATACTTTTTTTAAAAAGCTCTTATATTTTTATATATTTAGATTTTTTATTCTTTGTATAATAAATTTAAATCCATAAAATGAGTTCAGACAATGTCTATTATATTTATTGACCTTGAATCTTTCTTTTGTTTGTTTCCAAAATTTCTTTCCTCTTAAGTTTCCTCCAAAAAAACCTTATGCTATGTTTGGGTCTGGGAACTTAAAATGTTACATAAAAGAAAGAAAATACTAACAGAACTTGCTTGCTTATGTTTGGGTTTACCTAAGAAAAGAGAGAAATAAATAGATACAATGTGATTAATTTTTAAAAATTCTTTATTATATGCGTTTATATCATTAATATTTATATACTCCGTAAGCCATATGAACAAAAAAAATTAATAAAAAAACAGTATTGAGTCTGAGCTGATATTTTTATTTTCACAATTATTTTCTTTCCTTCTAAATTTCTCTCTGCTTTCTTTAGCTAGCCTTTTCACTTTCAGCGCTCCAGAAGAACCATTCAGGTTCTCTTATTTAACAATGTTTGTTTTGGTGGGATGCATTTGATTGTATTATTCGATAGGTGGTCAAAAATAGCGCAGCATATGCCAGGAAGAACAGACAATGAGATAAAAAATTACTGGAGAACAAGAGTCCAGAAACAAGCTAGGCAGCTCAAGATTGACTCAAACAGCAAGAAGTTCATTGAAGCTGTTAAAAAGTATTGGATGCCCAGATTGGTTGAGAAGATAGAACAGCAGCAGAACACTTCTTCTTCTTTGAAGACTTTGATGTCCCCCTCCTCCACCACTTCCTCCTTATTCTCTTCTTCTTCGTCATCCACTCAACCTATCACCACAGAAATGCCCAACTCACTTGTTATTACTTCCCCATCATCCCCCAATCAGGAAACATATACTTGTACTCCTCCAGCAGTAATAACCCAAGAAACAGGCAAAACAGACAACTGCAATGAGGTAGAAGATGACTGTTACCATGTGCAAATAATGGAAAATAATTCTTGTTATGATGCTGATGAGGCTTGCTTTGGCAACTACCCCGCCTCCATGTCAGCATTCGACTCGCGAGATGTTTCCTTGCTGGGGTGCCAGATGGGATACGATGACTGGTTCGGTGATGAGGTGGTAGATTTCTTGTGGGGACAATGATGATTATGCTAGTACATCCTCTCATTGTTAGTTCAATACCAAAAGTGGTGATGAAAAATGACGACTCCAAATTAATTAACTAATTAATAGACAAGCTAAGAAAGAGTTGCATAAATATGTGGTTATCAAAACACAACTCTGTTAATAATGTCCACCAGTGCATGCATAAGTGCATCACAGTGGCTATGGATATGCAAGTGTTACTAATTAGCTTATGTAGAGACTGGTAGTTTCCAACTATTACCAAGACTTAACTTTTTGGTTGATGAAAAAAAATCAAATGTACATCATGTAAGACAAACAATGAAATTAAAGTATGTATGCTGCATACGGACAGTAACTATGATTGGCATTTGTATATCTGCAAGTATTATTTTTATGTACAAATGTAATTTGTTTTCTCCACACATTTAGTGCATAGTTAGTTAAGATACAAATACTCGATATCATCCTCGTTGTTCATGTGTATGTATAAAATATTAATATACAACTGCTCCGACATTATCCAATCTATTATTTTGTCTACAGCCACCACTCAATAGACATTGGAGAAACATCCCCTCACATATCCAAGTACTTCTTGTGGCCACATTATCTCGCTCAAAACGACTTTAGCTTGTGCACAAAAAGGATTTCGCTTCATCACCACATAGCTTATTGAAATGTGTGCCCTTTATGAAGCCTTGGCTCTCACACAGAATCGATTCCTGAGGAGGTTCTTGTTTTAGATGTCCTTAATGACCTAGATTCGGAATATAGTGAACTTACATCGGTCATCCTAGTTCGCTCAACAACTTTTTCTCTTGTTGAACTCAAGGATATCCTCCTAGAGCATGAGACGTGCCTACAAGCTATGATGACAAACATTTTTCTTTTTTCCACGGTCAATACGACTCAATCCGGGGAGCGCTCATACTCCAAAAACGATCGTCGATCTCACACTAGCGGTGATCAATGAGGTTCGTTCATCCATCGAGGCCATGGTGGTACCAACTTTTCTCACATATGTTCCTCATCTAGCTCTATTGTGTGTAGGTTCTGTGAGAACCTCGTTCATGATGTCAAGCAATGCAGGAAATTACAATGTCTCCTCTAAGGTTATTAATTACCTCATCCATCTACTTTGTTTGTTCATCATACTGCGAGGACGCCTGCCTCTTCGATTGGACGTCTGACTCTTCGAGTGGACTATGATTGTTTGACGGTGGGGATTCACATCATGTTACTACAAATGCTTTCATGCTGCCACTTCGTGGGAATTGATATTTTCAATGGGAAGAAGCTCGAAGATATTGTTCCTTCATCTCACAATTGTGACGTTCCACATGTTGATCATGTTGACTATCAGCTTATTGACATCTCTGAAGATGGTTTTGTCTCTCTTCTAACAGAAAGTGGAAGTACCAAAGATGACCTGAAGCTTCCCACAGATGAGGTTATGTTAAAGCATATCAAAGATGGATTTGGGGAAGGGAAGGATCTTATAGTGTCAGTCATGGCTGCAATGGGAGAAGAGCAGATTAACGCAGTGAAGGATATCAGTGGTGATGGTCCTAAATAGTGAAAAGCCAGACAGCCTTTTATACATTTAATATATCTATAATTAAGGGAACCAGGCAGCTCACTTGAATTGTTTGTTATTTCCAAGTTTAGTGATGAGTCAAGACAGCTCAGTTGAACCATGCTTTTGTGTATTGAAACCCTTGTAAAAGGTCCCTTCTGGTGACCCTTGTGTGAAGGTTTTGCTCCTGCACCAGCAGTTGAAAATTACTTTTTTGTCATTTAAAAAAATGCTTTCATGTTGCCAACTTGCCATCATATATATCATGGTGGTCCTGAGCAAGTTCACCTTCGCTATAGTAAGTCGTTATCACTCACTCGCACTAATCAAACCATCTCTCATCATAACTTATCTCCATTTAATAAGATTTTTTTGTGTTCTGTTCACAAATATGTAGTTTTGATTGCTAAACTCTGCAAAAGTAATCATATTTCTATCAAATTTTTTCGCTCTCTTTTTCTAGTCCAGGAGAGGCTCACGCGGTGCCACTATTGTGCGGGGAGAACCTTATTGATGTTTAGTACGAACCTCTTTCGAGTCCACTATAAGTTCACTCTACTCGAGTTCGTCGGCCGCCACCTTGACATCATATTTTTTGTCACCCATCTCATCATTTCTTTACCAAATTAATTAGTCAGAATAAGAAACAGTTTCATTCCCAGGTGGCAGATGATATTTGTTGTAACTATTGTTTAATTTTAATTTGTTCAAGTACAAATTTATTGTTCTTTAGAAATTCTATGAATGTCACTCGTCCGTTAGAATTACTTAATTCTGATGTATGGTGTACTACTGATGTGTCTCTAGATGGTCACAAATATTATGTCATTTTTGTTTACTTTTACACTATTTTGTTGCCTAGTTATTTTTTTTAAATAACTCATACCCCATCGTAGGTTATCTGTTGTTGTTGTTGTACCCATTATTACTCAATTTTTCAACAATAATGGGAAATATATTAAAATTGAGTTCTACCTAATTCTACATGGAATATAGCACTTTACAACTCTCCCACATACCCTGTAACACAATGGTGTCGTTGATCATTAACATCAACACATTGTTGAAAACGGTTTCATGGAAATCCATTATGCTGGCTTAACTTACCTATTACCTACTCACGATGTGCCTGTTAAACAACGCTGTACTTTATCAATTTCCTTGTTAACCCTATCCAAACTCCTAACTATATTGAACGTCACAACGTCACCTTTTTGGCTGTTTGTGCTAACCATGGCTACAACCCTACAACTCCACAAAAACTCAACTCTGGTCTTAACCATGTGTATTTATTGGATACTCTACATCTCAACCTGTCTATATTTGTCTTGATCGTACTTGTGGTCATGTGTACACTACTCATCACGTCCAATTTTCCCCGTCTCAATTTTCTTTCTGTGTTCTGTCACCCTAAGATACCCCAAGTCCTGTATGAAATATCTTACTCTTGACTTCTTTGATTGTGATATTGTGCTACGGTGCAAGGACAGTGGAAGGTCTATCATACTTAAGCTCCATATTGCTGATATTTTGACAAAGTTGATAACTCGCTCTTCATTTGAATGCTTCTGACTCAAGCTAATAATTTCCAACTAAACTTTCATCTTGTGGAGTGTGACTATTATTTAGCATGTGTATTTTCTATGCAAATGTATTTTATTTTCTCCACACTTTTAGTGCATAGTAGCTAGGATAGAGATAATCGCATTTGGACTTCTTTAGTGTTCACGTGTGTGTATATATATATATATATATATATATATATATATATATATATATATATATATAGAGTACTCTTCTCATCAGGCCGGCCTGACGGGCTGCCCCGTCCGGCCGAGCCCGTTTGGGCACCTTCCCGGTGGAATTTTTTGATGAAATTTTTTCAGCATGTTCCTCATCAAGTCTAGTTTGTCCATACCAAATTTCAGCTCAAAATTAGATCGGGAAGGTCGTCAAATGATTTTTGCAAGTTAACTGGTCCGGAAAATACATATTCCGGACCAGTTAACTTGCAAAAATCATTTGACGACCTTCCCGATCGAATTTTGAGCTGAAATTTGGTATGGACAAACTAGACTTGATGAGGAACATGCTCAAAAAATTTCATCAAAAAATTCCACCGGGAAGGTGCCCAAACGGGCTCGGCCGGACGGGGCAGCCCGTCAGGCCGGCCTGATGAGATGATTTCTCTCTCTCTCTCTCTATATATATATATATATATATATATATATATATATATATACACACACACACACACATATATATATATATTTAGGGAGCGGTTCCGGTAAGAACAGATCTTAGGAGAAAAATGAGAACGAATCTGGACCGTTGGATTGTATTATGTGGAACCAAATTGTGCATTTGGTGAAACTGAAATGTGCATTAAATGATATTGAAATGTGCAAAATAAAAATTTAAACTCAAATGTGCATTAGATGAAACTGATATGTGCGAAAAAAAGTACAAAAATAACATCACATCGTACTTTTTATTCGGCACATCTAAGCTCCACCTAATGCACATTTCAATTTCACGTAATACACAATTCAACTGCACATAATGCCACTCTATCGTACCCTTTGTGATGCACATTTCAATTTCACCTAATGCACATTACAGTTTCATGTAATGCACACTGATTTTCACTTGAAGCAAATCTAACGGTCCAGATTCATTCTCATTTCTCTCATAAGATCAAGTTCTTATTTGAACCAAAACCTATATATATATATATATATATATATATATATATATATATATATATATAGAAATCATCATGTCAGGCCGGCCTGACGGGCTGCCCCGTCCGGCCGAGCCCGTTTGGGCACCTTCCCGATGGAATTTTTTGATGAAATATTTTGAGCATGTTCCTCATCAAGTCTAGTTTGTCCATACCAAATTTCAGCTCAAAATTCGATCGGGAAGGTCGTCAAATGATTTTTGCAAGTTAACTGGTCCGGAATATGTATTTTCCGGACCAGTTAACTTGCAAAAATCATTTGACGACCTTCCCGATCGAATTTTGAGCTGAAATTTGGTATGGACAAACTAGACTTGATGAGGAACATGCTCAAAAAATTTCATCGAAAAATTCCACCGGGAAGGTGCCAAAACGGGCTCGGCCGGACGGGGCAGCCCGTCAGGCCGGCCTGATGAGAAGAGCACTCTATATATATATATATATATATATATATATATATATATACACACACACACACTAGTGTAAATGATTTCAAATCAATGAGAATAATTATATACTCTTCACTGCATTGCTATGTGTTTCCTTTGTGTGGGTCATTCTAATACTCTATATATGCGAGAGAAAATGTTGTGAAAGATATAAAATACTCTTTAAACAGTAGAAATTGTATGAACTAAAAGAGTATTTAAAATCTTTAGGTGGGTGAGGATTCTAGATCCAATGGTGGAAAGGTACAATCATCGTATGTAGCTGACTCATTTGTGAAAACTAAAAACAAGAGAGCCTCAATGGGTCTGAAGTTCAAGTGCAAGGAACTTCAAGAGAGCATAATGATATGGGGCTGAAATTCTAGTGTAAGGGTTAGGTCTATCAATGGGTCAGGTCTCAGTCGGAACATAGTGCTTCAGACCCATATCAATGAGTCAGGTCTCAGTCGGAACATAGTAAGTCAGACCCAAACTTGTTGATTTAATTATGATTTCATAACTGGTTTGCATACCCAGCGGGTCTGAAATTATTATTTCAAACCCGGATCCATCGGGTTCGGAAATCAAGTGTGGTTATGATACCCCAGAAATTATACTCTCTGTCTCGAAATAAGAGATCTTTTTTTTTTGCAAGAAAATAAGAGTTTTCTTAGTTATACTGAAATTGATTTAATTAGTTGAATCTACTAAAATTGTTATAATTATGAAATGACAAAATTGGTTCAATCTATCGAATTATGAAATTGATTTAATATATACGAAGTATTTTATTGATAAAAATATTTATATGAAAAAACTAAACTAGTCATACTCATACTCAACAACTTTAACTGTTTGATTATTGAGTAATTCAGTGCGTAAATTTATTAATATAAAAAAATATATTATAGATTTAACTAATAAAGTTTTTTAGAACTAACTAATAAAGTTGACGAATAGAAAAATGAGTTTCCAAACGGTTTCTTCATTTGGCAAACCCTGCGGCTTGGCTGCCTCATTTAATTGAAGGACGAAGATCAAACCAGACTCCAGTCTTGTATCTCCCATGCAGAATCAGTGGGCTTAATTGGGTCAACGTGATGCAGTGATCCAAACTATCTGATGGTGACATCAACGCTCAGAGATTCTGGGTAGATATAAAATCCAATTGAATTGTTCTTCTCTTATGGTAGTGTCGAATTTGTTCGATTTATGACGGTTCTTTCTTGGGAACTAGTGCTCCGGGGTGGTTGGTCTTTCTCGATGTGGGGAGTTTTGTTGGTGTCCCAACTAGCTTTGTCCGGTCAGGGGTTTCTGTCAGCTTTCTTCCAGAGTGAGTAGGCATTGGTAAAACTCATCCTCTTTCAGAACCACCTTCGTGTCATGAAGTGTTTTGTAGAGAGACTTTTTTTCAATTCTATTTTTCCATTAGTAGTACTTCTTTTTATTTTAGTTTCAGTAGGTATGGTTTGGAAGTTTGGACTTCCGGCATGCGTTTGATAGGCAGCGTTTCAGTCCCAATTGTTTCATGCTTTAAATTGTCTCTTGTGTCTAGCGAATCGGGTTATTTTTATGAGATGACTGATTCTATGTCTATTTTCAGTGCTCACCATAGAATTTGTCATAGTTGCCTAGATGTTATCTTGTATCGTTTCTCAATTTTAATATAGAAGTCAATCCTTTATATTAAAAAAACGGTTTCTTCAATTTCTGAAAAGAAATGAAGGCTGATCATTATTTCACATTTTCTATTCAAATATCAATTTACCTTTCATTATTCAATTACTTTTTCAACAAGTATCTCAATTTTAGATAAAAATATGGAGAATGTGTTTGTAGAGGTGTAATCTATTTAATTAGGTTAAGTGCAACTCAACTCCATCAACAAATCAAATTCTCTATTAGTTTTTCCTGCAATCTAACACATTCAATATATTCACCCATTAAGATTTTTTAACTAAAGTATTAATCTAATTAATATATACTATCTTCGTTCCTAAAA